ACAAAAAGGTGAAGGAAGGATGAATTTTCTCTCTTCTCGAGTTGGGACAGTCATCTTCTCTTGCTCTTAGACATTTGAGTTCCTGGTTCTCGGGCCTTTGGCCTCCAGGCCTTATACCAGTTCCACAACCGTGTCCTGACCTTTCTCAGGCCTTCAAACTCTGAGTTACTCTACTGGCTTTCCTGGTTCTCCAGTTTGCAGTTGTGAGACTTCTCAGCCTCCATATTCACATGAGCCAGTTCCCAGGATAATGTCCTTTTATTTATATAGATATATTTTTATTGGTTCTGTTTCTCTGTAGAACTGTGTGTATACATGAATATTTAATGAAAGTAATTTAAATATTTAATTTGGGTAGCAGAATATAAAGTTAAGCCTAATGCTTTCAAATTTGCTTAGCTGAATACTGTTCCAGGAGTCCTAATTTTATTTAAAAAATATATATTGTTAAATGAAAGTATATGCTTTTCCTTAGCACATTTGTTTTGTTTTTGCTTTTTTTTTGTTTTGTTTTTGAGACAGTATCTTGCTCTGTCACTAGGCTGGATTGCAGCGGTGCAATCTCAGCTCACTGCAACCTCTGCCTCCTGGGTTCAAGCGATTCTCCTGCCTCAGCCTCCCGAGTAGCTAGGACTACAGGTGCGTGCCACCATGCCCAGCTAAATTTTTGTGTTTTTAATCGAAACAGCATTTCACCATGTTGGCCAGTCTCTTGACCTCGTGATCCGCTCACCTCAGCCTCACAAAGTGCTGGGATTAAAGGCGAGAGCCACCATGCCCAGCATCCTTGGCACATTTTATCCAGAATATGTAAATATAGCATTTTATATGAATTAATACTTGTGTCATTACTGAGTAATTTTATAGAAGCAACATGTTCATGTTTTAAATTTTAAAAGGATAAAATAACTAGAGTACTGTGGGTGGGCCACCCCGCAAGTGTGGTGGCAAGGTTCTGAAGCCTCAGCCTGTTTCCATATAAATGATGAAATTAGAAATATAATCACATAAGTAATCATAGGTATGGATACTTAAATATATATACACTCATTATAATCTTTTAATGTTACTAATGCTTCTCGGGTTGCAAAGTGTGAACCTAAGGTGACATTGTGAAAGAAGTGACCCTAAGGCAAGATACTTCAAGCCCTCTGTCATGCCCGTGTAAGGCCTGCTGGAGGGCACCTTGGCTGTGCAGCAATGCTGGGAAAGTGCCCACTGTTTAACCAGCTGTGGAAGGATACATCCACGATGTCTCCTTCCCCGGAGGAGTTAGGAGAAAACTCTGCTTCCCCAGGCTCTTGTGGTAGGCCTGACAGCTGTCAGGGACACCCACAGACATCAGGGGCTTAATTGTCTCTATGTGATGCTGTGCTTCGTGGTCACTTTCCATGTCCACTTTCATGTTCTGCTTCTGCACCTGGTTCCTCTTTTTCTTAGAAGACATAATCAGTAAAAGTAACGCAAATCTTAATCTTTGTTCTCTCTTTACAAGTATGGAAAAAGTGCTGATGCGTTATGCTCCTTAACTTATTTTGGCTACTTGAAAGACCTGGGCCCCTATGTCCAAGACACGTGATTTACCTGACCTGATCACTGACCACCTACCTACCCTGTCCCCTGCTTTGTACTCAATAAAAGTCAGAGCGTGCAGGCACTTGGTGTCACTGCTGGACTCTGCACTTTGGTTGGCAGTGGACCCCTGGGTCCAAACTCTCTTTCTCTCCATCTCTGTGTCTTTTGTCTTCATTTCCACAGTTTCTCATCTCCACACCAATAGAGAGGGGCTTACAGGACCCGGTAGGGCTAGACCCTACAGAGTACCAGAAAAATTGAGTAAAATTAAATGCATTTTTGACTTTCCTTGTATATTACTACCAACTTTTACAGTTTAAAAGTGTACTGAGAAACAAAACACGTACACTTTTCTTTCTGCAAATGCTATGAAATGGTTAAATCTGCTTCTTCATTATTTTAGATGACATACATCACCTTTTGCTACTTCACCTGTATTTACTCCATTTTGTTCAGACTGCTTTCCTTGCTGTTTTTCACAGCTCCAAGCATGCTCCAAACTCAGGGCCTGTGTTCTTGCTGTTTTCCATGCATATTTCCTCACTCCATTTAGGTCTTTTTAAAAATGTGACCCAGTCATAGGGTCCTTCCTTCACCACCTTTATAAAATAATCACTCTCCCCACCCCCTGTACACTGCTCCCTCATCTCGTGTTATTCTTCCTCGTTCTTATTCACACTCTTGTATATTTATTCACTTGTTTATTATATATCCTCCTCTCCAACTAGAATGCACACTTCATTAAAGCAGTGAGTTTTTTGTTTTTTAAAATAAGATCTTTGGTACCTAAATGAGTGTGTTTCATAGGAGATTCTCAATAAGTATTTGTTAAATGAATGGATAAAATAATTAAGTTTTGATTCTAATTGTATCAATATGTTGAAACTTTGAACCATTCATGATTATAGTAAACTATCTTTAATATAAGCCTTCTAGATAGATGTATAGTTCATTTCAAAAGACACAGATAATTTCTTTGCTGAAACATTTTTTGTCTCGATTCTAAGCACTTTTTCTCCCACTTTTGGACACAATCATTTCCTGAAAATTCTATCATCAAGTAACTCATTTGAAGCCATCTCATAATTTTTACTTAGATGTGATGTCTCATGAAGTAGAAAATAATACATCAAATAAATACTACTTAGCAAATCATAAAAATACATTAAAAGTGAAATTACCTAAGGTTTAATATTTAATTATATTTGAAAATTACTTTATACACATAAATTATAGAATTAACTGAAATGATTCTAAACATCTATGTAGAATATAAACATGACAATATCTTTCAGTAGCAAACATAACATAAATTCAATATGCTATTACGATCCACAATCTTTATATTTCCTAATTCCTGGAAACTTTTAATGTTACCTTATATTGCCTAAAAGGACTATATAGAGGTGATGAAGCCTGCGATAGTATTGTAGATTATCTGTGCGAACCCCAAAGGCTCATATATGTCACTATCAGAAGAAGACAGAGAGATGTGATGACAGACAAAAGAGGAGTCCGCAAGGTGAGCATGGAGGCAGAGACTAAAGTGATGTGGTCCCAAGCCATGGAATACCTGCAGCCACCATAAAATGAAAGAGGCAAAAAATAAATTCTCACTTACAGTTTATGAAGAAAGCAAGCCTTGCTAATGTGTTGATTTCAGTCCAGTGCCGCTGATTTAGGACTTCTGGCTTCCAAACTGTGAAAGAATAAACACCTGTTGTTTTAAGTTTCCTGGTATGTGATGTTTTGTCACAGCAGCTATACAAATCTAATACAAACACTTACCTGATTTCTCCTATGTCATAATCTTATATTATGATTTTACATTTGTCAACACTACAAAAAAAAAAGATTGACACACTATTACTTTTTTATTTTTTTATTTTTTTTTTCAGATGGAGTTTTGCTCTTGTTGCCCAGGTTGGAGGGCAATGGTGCTATCTTTGCTCACCACAATTTCCACCTCCTGGGTTCAAGTGATTCTCCTGCCTCAGCCTCCTGTATAGCTGGGATTACTGGCATGCACCATCACACTTGACTAATTTTCTATTTTTATTAGAGATGGGGTTTCTCCATGTTGGTCAGGTTGGTCTTGAACTCCTGACCTCAGGTGATCCTCCCACCTCAGCCTCCTAACATGCTGGGATTACAGGCATGAGCCACCATACCCAGCCTTACTTTCTAAACTTCAGACTTTATTCCAATCTCATTTGTTTGTCCATGCTTTTCCTCTTTTTGCATTTAGTTTTCAGGTTTCCTTAGTCTCTTCTGGTTATGACAGATTGTCCATCTTTCCCTGTGTTTTGAAGGAGTGCTGAGGAGACATTTCTTAGAACAACTGAAGTGAAAATTATGTTTTTCTGAGGTTTTCTCATTATTTTACGGGGGCTATACTGTTTTTCAAGTAACATCAGTGATAAATTTCTCTTCTAGCACCTCATATCAAGGATACATGCTATCAACATGATTTATCAGGATGAAGTTAACATGATCACAAATCCTAGGTAAAGTCGGCTTAATTTCCCTCACATAGAGTTACTTTTTGTTCCCCCTTCTATGTTCTAATCTTTGAAACAAATCATTAATTCCAGCTCACACTGCTGGTGTTTGGGAACTAAGCTCCAACTCCTGCTGAGGTCAGTGTTTAAACAACTTATTCGGAGTTTTTCTGTAAGCAAGATTTGTCTCCTTTCTCACTTATTTATTTACAATCATCATTTATATTAGTGTGTTCTCATTTGTTTACTTTATACTTGGAATTATAAAGCAATACTAGGTTTTTGCTTTCATTTTTTTGGTCTAAGTATTTCCGCTTTTATCTTTTGAAGCTCTTTCAGAAGGCCCTTACATTCCTTTGACATCGTTCATCCTTTGTGTTTTTATTTTATTTAGAGTATGTTCTTACTTTAGGGCATTACATGATGCTCTAAGCTCCTCTTGTATTTTTCCTGCCACTGTCACAGAGTCAACTACTTCTACAAAGAGCCTTCTTTATTTTGATAGAGAATGGTATTTACAAGCCAAGATCTAGACACGGATGTGCTTGCTGTTACTGCTATTTCACTTCTTCTAGGCTCTTTCATCAAAAGAACTAAATATCTATTTATGTACCCTGTATACACAGCAAACCATATTTATTTCTAAATTTATTCATTATATTGAGCTAAATATGAGTTCATACTGATGTCTCTGTTGGGGCTCAGAAAATGACACCACAAAGTAAGGCATTTTGGCATGCCGAGTCTTTGAACTAAAGGACATTGGAAGGCTTCAGAAGCAGCCTCAGAACCAAGGTCTTTCTGATCTTCTCCTTTCCTCCTGTCTCTTTTCCCTCTTTCTTCCCCAAAGTTAGTCAGAAACCAGAATTACTCTTTCCCATGGTGGATCATAAAACACTAGAACATCAGGAGAAATTAATATAGGTGACGGAGGGATGGAGGTAGCCAACCACCACGGCATCTGTATACCTATGTAACAATCCTGCAAGATCTGCACATGTACCCCAAAACTCAAAGTATAATAATAATAAATAAAAACTTTTAAAATTTAAAATTAAAAAAATAACAACTAAAACTCCCTTTCCCCAGAGCAAGCCACGAAACCTAGAAATATTATTCTAACCTTCTCCCTCCTTTCTATCCAGGAGCTTGCCCTTAAAAAAATGGGCTTGTACGCTTTTTTGGCCATATGTATGTCTTCTTTTGAAAAGTATCTCTTCATGTCCTTTGCACACCTTTTAATGAGGCTGTTTGTTTCTTGTAAATTTGCTTGCGTTCCTTATAGACACTGAATAGTAGACCCTTCTCAGATGCATAGTTTGCAAATATTTTCTCCCTTTTTGTAGGTTGTCTGTTTATTCTGTTGATAGTTTCTTTTGCTGTGCAGAAACTTTTTTTTTTTTTTTTTTTTTGAGACGGAGTTTCGCTCTTGTTACCCAGACTGGAGTGCAACGGCGCGATCTCGGTTCACCGCAACCTCCGCCTCCCGGGTTCAGGCAATTCTCCTGCCTCAGCCTCCTGAGTCGCTGAGATTACAGGCACGCGCCACCATGCCCAGCTAATTTTTTGTATTTTTAGTAGAGACAGGGTTTCACCATGTTGACCAGGATGGTCTCCATCTCTTGACCTCGTGATCCACCCGCCTCGGCCTCCCACAGTGCTGGGATTACAGGCTTGAGCCACCGCGCCCGGCCGCAGAAACTTTTAAGTTTAATTAGATCCCATTTGTAATTTTTGCTTTTGTTGCAATTGCTTTCGCTGTCTTTGTCATGAAATCTTTGCCAGTTCCTATAATCAGAATGGTAGTTCCCAGGTTGTCTTCCAGGGTTTTTATAGTTTGGGGTTTTACATTTAAGTCTTTAATCGATCTTGAGTAGATTTTTGTATATGGCACAAGGAAGACATCCAGTTTCAATTTTCCATATTTGGCTAGCCAGTTATCCCAGCACCATTTATTGAATAGGGAGGCAAAAAAATGCATGTTCTAACTTATAGATGGGAGCTAAATTATAGGAACTCATGAACACAAACAAGGGAACAACAGACACTGAGGCCTAGTTAAGAGTGGAAGGTGGAAGGAGGGAGAGGATCAGAAAAAAATAACTACTGGGGACTAGTCTCAGTACGATGAAATAATCTGTACAACAAACCCCCGTGACATGAGTTTACCTACGTAACAAACTTGCCCATGTTCCTCAAACCTAAAATAAAAGTTAAAAAAATAATTGACTCTTATTCTAGAGAAGTCCTGCCCAATATCTGGAAGGAAGAAATGCTACAGCAGAGAGACCAGGAAGAATCTGAAAAGACAGGCCTTGCTGGGTTTTCTCACTGTCTATTACCATTAGGTCACTCACTTTGTCCAATCACATTTCTATATGCGGTCACGCTTCCATGAATCTAAGCATAAAAACAAACAATTTTTCCTAGATCTTTGGATCTTCATTCCTGAAGGCTCCATATCACACAGAATTTTGATTAATCTGTTATGCTTTTCCCCTGTTAATCTGTCTTCGTCAGTTTTATCTCAGACCTAGCCAGGGACCCTAGGAGGGTTGACGAAACGTTTCCTCCCCTATGTTTCTGACTCTAATTCAGTTTATTCCACCTCCAGCACAGGAGTAAAGCAGTTCCATAATTGTTAATCCATACCTCCATGAGAAACAACTTTAGCAACTAAAGTACAGTATTTTTGTATAATTTTGTATTTTTGCTTTAGGACTTCTGGTTAGCACATGGTGTTTCCAACATTACTTAGCTTGGCTTTTTTTCCCTCCCTCGTCTCCTTTCAGTGGAGTGAAGTCATACATTTACAATAAAATTGGATTATTTTTTCACAGTCTGTTTAATCCTGGAATTCTCCTATACTCTTAGTTGATCTTTTTTAATTTGTATGTGATACATTCACTCTTTGCTACTTGTAGTTCTATGAGTTTGGACAAATGCGGGCATGTGTTCACCAGTAGAGTACCATAGAGAATATCTGATTCATCCTAAAATTTCCCTTTGCATCCTTTTTATAGACAGCCACTTCCAACTTCCTCAAACCTTGGAAATCAGTGATGTTTTTACATTTCTATGTTGCATGAATGGAATCACAATATGTAGCCTTTGAGTTTGCCTTCTTTCATTACTAAAAACCACTGTCCCACTGCTGGCTGCTGCCGCCAGGGCCAAATCACAAGCCATTGGCAGTGACCCCCTCACCCAGGTCACCTCAATAGCAGGGCACCTGTGTAGAGTGATCCACAGTTGACACCCGGGGCTGAGGCACATGCTGCCCAACTGAACTGAAAAGAACCCAGCAAGACCGCCCACCAAGCAACTGCTGCCACACACACCCAAGCATTCCACTGGGGCCCTGAGGATCACCCTTCCCACAGCCAGCACCACATGTACCACCAAGGCCCTGAGGACAGACCCAACCAGCCCAGCTTCACCCCTCTGAGCTCTGGAGCTCTTGGTCTGAGACCCTGTGGATCACCGTGCTCTATCCTCATCACTGGTGCCTCCTGAGCACTCCTCCTGGGAGCCTGAGGACAAGCCCACCCAACAGGCTGCAACCACCACAGCTGGAACTCACTCACATGCATCACCTGCAGGCCTGGGGACTGGCCCACTCAGTCTGTCACAGCTATGGCCAACACCAGCACAGACCACTTGGGAGCCAGAGGGCTGTCCCATCACTGACACTGACATTGTCCACGCCACATCCACTTCCCAGGGGCTTGAACTTACCCACCTGCCCTGCACCTCTGCTGGCACCAAAGAAAGCAGCCTGGAGGTCCAAGGTCCAAGAATCAACCTGCCTAGATAGGCTAACATGGGAGCCAGTGTTCACTGCCCTGGGACCCAAGGAAAAGCATGCTTGGCATGCTGCTGCCACCTCTGGGACCCATGGACTTGCTTACCTGGAGCACCCAACAAAACTTCACCACAGCCTCCACTAACAACCATATTCTAAGCCACTGAGAAAATCATAGACATCACTGACTCTGTTTACAAGTCAAGAAATCATACAGATAACTATACAACTGCACGCACCCAGAATCAAAGACAAAGTGCCTTATCTGACCAACACCATAGATATATTTTGAGGAAAAAGTTTCCTGAGGAAGCACATCCAGGAAAAAAAAAGGAAGAAGTAGTGACTGTAACACCAGGTGCAGAAGTATCAATGTAAGAATATGAGAAACATGAAAAAACAAGGACATATGACACCTCCAAAGAAACGTAATAATTCTTCAGCTACAGATTCCAATGAAAAAGAAATTTACAAAATCCTCAAAAAATAATTTAAATGACATTAAGGAAACTCAGTGAGATAGAAGAGAATACTGATAAAAAATTATGAACAAAATTATGAACACATTTTCAAATTGATCAAATCATGAACATATTTTCATAGTGATCAAATAACATTTTATTGTATCACTTATAACTACATGATTCCTGATTTGTGGAGTTTGCATTCTTTATCCACATGAAAAGTAAATATTTATTCACTTTGTGAAAAATCAAAGCTGCTAACACAGTTACTGGAACACAGTTGGGACTTTGGTTAAGTGAGTAAATTAGATCAAGGATATGAATGAGAAAATTACTCGAAAGATACATACCATATAAAAGAACCCAAACAGAAATTGGGGAACTAAAGATTTCATTGAATGAAATAAAAAACTACATTCAAACACTTCAACAGTAGACTAGATCAAGCAGAAGAAAGAATTTCAGAACTTGAAGACAGATCTTTTGAAAGAATGCAGACAAAAATTTTTAAAGAAGAATAAAAAGTAATGAACAAAGCCTGCATAACATATGGAACACCATAGAGCAACCAAATATTTAAGTTTTTGGTGTCCCACGAGACAAAGGGAAAGTAAAAGGGGAAAGAAAATATATTTAATGAAAAAATAGCTGAAAGTTTCCAACACCTAGCAAGAGATTTAGATATCCAGCTATCAGATGCTTAATAGGTCCTCAAATAGATAGAGTCCAAAGGTCCTCTCCATGCCACATCATAGTCAAACTACCAAAAGTCAAAGACAAAGAGAAAATTCTAAAAACAGCAAAAGAAAAGTAGCTAAGTACTTATAAGAAAACTCTCATCAGACTAATAGTGGATTTCTCAGCAAATGCTCTCTATTGCCACTTCTGTTCAACAAAGTACTGGAAGTACTAGCAAAAGGAATCACACAAGAAAAAGAAATAAAAGACGTTTATTTTTTATTTGTGTGTGTGTGTGTGTGTGTGTGTGTGTATGTGTGCATGTTGCCTGTCTTTTTTCTTTCTTTTTTTTTTAAATATATATTTTTATTGTACTTTAGGTTATGGAGTACACATGCAGATCCTGCAGGATTGTTGTACAGGTACATACATGGCAATGTGGTTTGCTGCCTCCATCCCCCCATCACCTATATCTGGCATTTCTCCACAACATCCCTACCCACCTACTGCCACTCCCCTAGTCTCCCCCAACAGACCCCAGTGTGTGACACTCCTCTCCCTGTATCCATGTGTTCTCACTGTTCAACACCCACCTATGAGTGAGAACATGTCATGTTTGATTTTCTGTTCTTGTGTCAGTTTGCTGAGAATTATGGTTTCCAGATTCATCCATTCCCTACAAAGGATATGAACTCATCGCTTTTTATGGCTGCATACTATTCCATGGTGTATATGTGCCACGTTTTCCTTGTCCAGTCTATCACTGATGGGCATTGGGTTGGTTCCAGGTCTTTGCTATGGTAAAAAGCGCCTCAAGGAACATACGTGTGCCTGTGTCTTTATAATATAATGATTTATAACCCTTTGGATATATACCCACTAATGGGATTGCTGAGTCAAATGGAATTTCTATTTCTAGGTCCTTGAGGAATCGCCACACTGTCTTCCACAATGGTTGAACTAATTTACACTCCCACCAACAGTGTAAAACTGTTCCTGTTTGTCCACATCCTCTCCAGCATTTGTTGTCTCCAGGTTTTTTAATGATCGCCATTCTAACTGGTATGAGATCATAT